CCTCTTCACTGGCATGACCCCCGTAAGATAGTCGCTGGAGCGCCGGCACCCTCTAAGTCTCTCGCTGGTGAGCCCGCTCCTTCAACACTGCCCGCAAGTCCTCGGAGCGCGAGGAGTAGGAATACCTCGACGTCGTCGCCGGACGCGAGGGTTGATAGATATTGCCTTACGCGCTCGACTTCTCTGCAGGTGCGTCGGAATCTCCAACCCTGAAACTTCTGGTAATAGAAAGGGAGGGAGTGTGCCGCTGGCTCTGACTACCTGAACGGCGTGGTTAGGTGCGCTCACTGTGGTCTCCCACTCCAGCAACACCCTTCCCTTTGACATGCCGCTTGAGACCTTCCATCTCTGCCGTCATTCTTCGGATAACGGCGTCTTAGTCCCGCAACTTGTGCTCCAAACATCTGGCGTGAGATTCTCTCCGCCGCCGGTGTCCGTCTGGGCTCCGAGAGTGACCAAAACTCTTTCCGTGCTTATCCCGCGCGTCTCTTGAATGTCCTCCTAGGGAAGTCTCCATGTCCGCCATGGGTGGCATGGTAGGGAGTCCGTCTCTCCGTCTGGCTGACTCCGGGGTAACTCCGTGGATGGAGGACAACGGTATCTCATCGTTGTTCGCCATGGAAGGCGATCAGATGAGCTTGGAAGACAAGGTTTTGTCTATCAAATTCCCACAGATGGCGCCAATTGTACGGGGAGCAAATATTCCGCGAAGCCCGTACTCCATTCGTCCAAGCTCCTTGTCTATCTGATCGACCTGCAAACACAACGGCGGTGAGCTGCCCAGCGGTGTGTGGCTAGAAAACCCCTCCGACGGTCAAGTTAGCACACACTTAGGGATCTAGAGAGAGAGGAGAGAGTTTTATGTTTAGGGTGTTCTCACCAAATGATGTTTCATTCCAACATGGGGGGCGTAGACACGCTTATATACTTTCTGCACCTAAATCTGCTCTTATTAATCTCTTGACACGTGGTGCTGCTCTCCCATTTGTCATCACAAATCCTGTAATCACCACCTAACCAAACCGTCAGGCTATATCGGTGGAGCCCGACAGACCGGCGGAACCTCCTCGGTCTTTCACGACCGCGCTGCGCAGCGTACCCGAGTGCTCCACTCGCCGAGCTCCAGAGCAACCGAGCTCAGTTGCATTCCGGCAAAGCCGAGTTCAAGATAGGTCGAGCCAGCAAATCGAAGGCCTTTCTACCGTGCTAAACGCGTGAACCGTGGAATCCAGACTGGCATGCAATCATCTCAGCCGAGCAACTCAAGTAGCTCGGTTTTCTACATAAATAAGCCCAGGTAGCTCAGTCCCAACATGGTCTTGGGCCTCTACTGAACAAAACCTTATCCAGATGAGCCCAAGCTATCACAGCCCAAACATGTTCGGCCCCTCATTTTGTCCGGCCTTTACCATGGCCCATTCCAGCTCATAAATCTCCTTCTCAAATACCGTGTTGACTGTCATGTCGTGTAAAAAATATATTATTATGCCTCCGTTTGGGAAGTGGGTTGATTTTTTAGCTTTTTTACTTTTTTGGCTATTTTAGCCTGGGCTAAAAAGTTTGGTTGGGAAGGGCTTTTTGGCTTTTTGACTTTTTTGGCTTTTTTGTGAGAGAAAAATGTAATGATTATGGGTTGGATGTGATATTTTATTTTTTGTGGCTAAAATAGCCTATTTTGTCTTTTGTGGCTAAAATAGCCAAAAAAGTCCCGTTTAGCTCTTGCCAAACGGATACTATATTTAGATGATTGTCACGTGGTATAAAAAATATATTATTATATTTAAATTTAAGTTTGGATGAGGTGTAGGATAAATATAATAATATATTTTACATCATGTGATTCCTAATGCAACATATTCTATCTAATTTTAAATAAAAAATAGTTTTAAAAGTAAATTAAAAAAAAACTATAACATAAATAATCAAAGTAAGAAAAAAAAAAGAGCTAAAATATAAAATACAGGAATCAAAGTGTAATTTAATTTTAATTTTTTAATTTATTACAATAAAATATAATTAAATGAAATAATTAATTTTTAATTAATCTTTTGTAATAATAACTGATAATTCAATTTATAATATATTTTTTATTATTTCTTTAATGAATAGACAAAGATTTGAAAACGTTTGATGTGTGACGGTTGTGTTAATCATCAACCAACCATAGATTCAATGATGGCGGCTGGCAAAATTATTGATTAGTCCTAATCATGTCCTTAATCAATCTAATTTATAAACTATTATAAAATTATTATTTATAATATAAAATAGAATTAAAAATTATATAAAATTATTATTTATAATATAAATTTATCTTATATATAAATTTTATAATATAAAATTTCAACATCAACCACAAATTTTCATTCCAGAGACAAATTTATAATGGTTAAAGTAGAGTTCTTAAACTTAAACACCTCTCATTCTTGATTAAGCGTTTGTTATTCTTATCAATACATACGCCGAACCGGAAGACACTGCAAAACTTTACGAATACCAAGTGGCCACATGCCATTTTGTCCTTATTAGTATTTCGATTTGAGTCGTTCTAGAATCTACCTACCATCAATAATGGACTCTCTAGTCAACAATTTATCAACGACACCACACTTCTATTAAAAGACTTATTTTTGTTAAAAGTGAGTTTTTAGTTTTTTAATTTTTTTTGAATTATTTGTTTTTTTGTTTTTTATACATTTTTTTAAGAAACTAAAAAAATAAAAAAAATTAATTTTTAACCTACTCCTCAAAATAGATCTAATTATTGTTTTCTATGAATTTATTACTTGCCAAAATTTAAAATAGTTAAATTTGTTTATATTAATTTTTTTAAACAGCTAAAATAAATTAAAATTTTTGAAATTAATAAAGATCAACGTATAGAATACAACAAAATAAAAGTTTGGCTAGGAATTTGTATCATTTCAAAAGGATTATATTCCAATTAAATTGACACATAGAACAATCAACCAACGTATTTTTCATGTTATTTGTGTGGCAACACTGTGGCGTGAGTTATGAGGTATCTAGTTTAAGAAGTTTGATATTTTTTATTGTAATTTTGAATTTTAATATATTATATATTTTTTATTATACTAATTTTAATATAAAATATAAAATTATTTTAAATTATAAATAGATGTTTCGGTTGAAATCCTCTTAACACGTATTTTATGCCCATTCACATCGGTGCAATGTGTTTATAGAACAGGAAATGACCTAATGTGGGGGTGTTTGGAAAATTTCTTTAGAAAAATGATCTGTAGTTCGAATTCGGGCATCGAATTCGGTGGCCCGAATTCGGCTCGAAATCCAAAACGACGTCGTTTTGGATTTTGATTTTTTTTTTCTTTTTCTTGCGTTTTGAATCAGAATACACAGAGAGAGAAGACAGAAAAAGAGAGAGAGAAGGAGAAAAGAGGAAGAGAGAAAGAAGAGGAAGAGAGGAGGAGAAGAAAAGAAGAGGAACCAAGATGATGATGTTGATCTGAAGATGATGATCTAAAGAAGAAGATGATGAAGATCTCTGTTTTTTTTTATCTGTTTTTTTTTTGATCGGCGATACGCCGATCTGTTTTTTTTTTTTGATCTGGAGATGATCTCTACGTTGTTGTTGATGAAGATGTTGATATTGATGAAGATTTCTGTGTTTTTGATGATGAAGATGAACTCGGGTTTGATGAAGAAAAATGAAGAAATACCCAAATGGGTATTCCAGATTTTCTGTGCTGCTCTCAAATAGGGAAGAAAATCTGGTGTGAGAAAAATTGGTTACTCTTCATCATCTTTTCTGGGTATTTTCTCACAGAAAATCTGGATGGTGTCGATTCTTTTCTGGGTACTTTTGTTGAACCAATTTTGGATGTGAAAAAATCTGGATGCGAGAAAATACCCAAAGAAGAGGAACCAATTTTGGATGATAAAAATCCAGAAATACCCAAAGAAGAGGAACCAATTTTGTATTCCAAATTTTGGATGTGAAAAAAAAAATTAATTAAATAAATAAAATTGTTGAGGATGATGATGATGGTAATGATGTTGATGAAACTCAACTTGTGAATCTGTCTGCATTTTTCTTCTTCTTCTTCTCTTCTTTTTCTTCTTCTTTAGCTTCAGAAATGGCGAAAAAAAAAGAGACACCAAAACGACGTCGTTTTGGTGTCGAGTCAAATTTGAGCCTCCGAATTTCGAGTTACGAATCGGAACTGATTTCTTTATTGGCTAAAAAAATCATTTATTCTTTCAATTTTTTTTTGGTTTTAGTGATTTCTTTTTTAAAATTATATCAAAATTTTTTATTTTTTTCAGTTTGTCGATGAATCTAAACAGCCAAAAAAATAATAATAATTTAAAAGCCAAAATATGCTTAAAATTACTCTACTATTTTTTGCTTATTTTTTTGTCCTTTTTGGAAATTTTTTTAAAAAATTTAAAATTTTTTATTTGTCTTGTTGAACTGAATTTAGAAACTCAATTTAAAAAAAAAAATCAATACAAGAGAAAATACAATTAAAAAAATAACTTGTCAATAGCTTTTTGTATTGCCTATCATTGTTTATATGTATATGTTGTTCGGTGTTGATAGAAAGCTTTAGAGTTGGGGCTCCAGTGACGTGAAAAATCTCACACGCAAAACAGACTTTGAAACTGAAACCAACATGAGCGAAAGAAAGACCAACATGACTGTTGAAACTGAAACAGGCAACCACGCAACTTCGTCGAAAGAACAAGACCACCTTGATCGAAGCAAGAAAAAAGTGAAATCTAGCGATGCAAATGGTGGGAAATTACTGGAGACTCAAGCTAGTGTTTTGGAGAAACCAGATGAGCAGATGGTGGAGGAAGTCAATGGCTGCAATGGCAACATTTTTGAAGGTCAAGAAGCTAATCTGGGAGCTCCGTGATCTTTCAAGCAAGCCCTCTTACGATCTTGATTTAATGAGACTGAGAGAGAAAGAAGCTTTGACTGCGAGGCTGCCTATTTCTCCTCCGATGAGGAGATGGACAATGATGATGAAACAGAAAATGTTTCGGAGCATCAAAGAAACACATCGATTCCGATCATCAAGCTACCTGCTGGTCTCCTAAAAAGGGTCCGAGAACCATGGAAGAAATGTCTCATTGTAAGACTCTTGGGAAAGAATATTGGATATAATTTGTTTGTAAACAGGATGCGGAAACTGTGGAACCTTCAAGCAGGTTTTGAAACTTTAGATATTGGCAATGGCTTCTTCATTGTGAAATTCGAAGTGATGGAAGATTATGCTAAAGTATTCACTGGGGGCCCATGGATAGTGATGGATCGGTATGTGACGGTTCGAAAATGGCAACCGGATTTTAAATCTGATGAGGCGGAAGAGGACACCACCGCCATTTGGGTGAGGTTCCCAAATCTGCCTATTGAGTATTATGATGAAAAAGTACTCTATCACATTGCGAAGGTGCTTGGGAAGCCTTTAAAGGTAGATATTAATACTGCCATGGCAGCACGGGGAAAGTATGCAAGGGTGTGTATTGAGATGGATCTACGCAAACCGCTTGTATCACATATTACCATTGGACGATATAATTACGTTGTGGAGTACGAACATCTACATCTTCTATGTTTTTCTTGTGGCCGTGTTGGTCATCGGAAAGAAAAATGCCCTGAATTTTCAGTGATCCAATCGGAGAAGATGACTAAAAAAATGACCGTTAATCAAATGGATGCAGCATCTGGGCTAAAGGAAACACAGCCCAATGGGCATACAGATCATGAGTTATCAACAGATAAAGAAACTCATGGTTATGGGCCGTGGACCATAGCAACCACTCGAAGAAAATACCTTCATGGAAAGCATAAATAGAAGACCCATGTCCATAAGAGCAATCGTTTTGAAAGTTTACAGGTGGACCAAGATCAGGGAGAAACCAGTGCAGCCCACGAAAAGAAAGCAATTTAAGAAAAATATGTTGATCATGATATGGGCCCTCAGACTATTCAAGGAGACATTTCGTATGTGCAAAAACAAGGCCCTATTGGCCCAAGTAAAGACCTGAAAGAGGGCGGGGCAGACTTAGTTTTGGATGTTGTAGCTGGGCCCAAAGAAAAAGAAAGGAACGGATGTGTTAACCCAGAAATTGCTAAGCAACTAGATCCACAACCCAGCTCATTTGAATCAATTGCTCCAGGAAACCCTACATTTTTTCCCGAAAATACAGCACCCTCCTTCGACAACAGTCCCAATCCATTGACAACGACCACTACCCCAGATAGCCGAGTGCAACAGCACCCACCAGATTTGCCGATCAGAAGGAAGGGACGCTCTAATGAAGGAAACGGCAGAGAACATTCCCATGGCAGAACACAGAGTGGACCAATGCAGAGCACTGATGTTCTTAGAACTAGAGAAAGAAATGTATCACCACGTCGGCATCGACTGGTGGTTAGAAGAGGTGAAGCTACTGATTCAACCATGGTGGGAGATAGATTCACACAACGTGAGGCACATGGTGCTAGTGAAACCAGCGAAGCCAATGGAGGAAGACCAGAAGACTGTGCGCAGAATTTTGGGACTATCTGAGACAGAGGATTGGCCAACCCACAACATGTCGTCTATGGATATGCTGATATGGAATTGTGGGGGTGCTGGTAATGCTCGATTTCGGAGGAACCTGCGGGAATTAGTAAGGCTTCATAAACCAGACATGATTATTCTCATGGAAACAAAAGTGGAGCTCAACACAATGGGTATGTTTTTCAACAATCTAGGGTTCACGGCCTCAACCCATGTAGATCCTATTTTTCCATCTCAAAGCCTAAACCAGAGTCAAAGAAGGAGCCAAAAATTCTCTGATAGAATCAGCAGCTGCAACCTCATGGACTTAGGTTGTGTTGGCCCTAGACTCACTTGGACTAATAATAGGAAAGGGTGGGCTAATACTGTGGTGAGATTGGACCGTGCTCTTTGTAACACTGAATGGCGAACGTTATTTACTGAGGGATATGTTCGTAACTTGCCTCGGACCTACGCAGACCATTCCCCTATGCTTCTTCATACTCAAGGTACACATCCTACTAGTCCCACAAATAAGCTTTTTAAATTTCAAGCTACTTGGTTATCGCATGATGATTTCAACGCCACTGTTGATAATAGCTGGCCCAGGCATAATAATAATCTTTTGGGGAAGTTGGATTACATGACATCTGCCTTGCAGGACTGGAACAAAAATATTTTCGGTAACATTTTTAGGCGAAAACGTTGGTTGCTTGGCAGAATTAATGGGATCCAAATTTCCCAAACCAAGAACTATTCTCATAATTTACATCAGCTGGAAAATGAGCTTACTTTTGAGTATAATAGAGTCCTATATCAAGAAGAGTTACTTTGGTTCCAAAAATCCCGTGTTAATTGGATTACTCAAGGTGAGCGGAATAGAAAAATTTTTCATATGTCTACCATTATCAAAAGAAGAAAAACCAAAATTGAAGTTTTGAAAAATGAGGAAGGAGTTTGGGTGGATAACCCCACTCAGTTAAAAAGTTTGGTTAAAGATTATTTTCAAAACCTGTTTGCCCATACTCACACTTTTAACCTTGATCATTGGAGTAATCTGACCAAACATATCAAGCCTGAGGACCAAAGTGAAATGAACAGAAATGTTTCTGCTGATGACATTTGGACGGCTGCCAAGAATATTAAAGCTTTTAAGACCCCGGGGAGGGATGGGTTCCAAGCCATTTTTTACCACACCTTTTGGAAGATTGTGGGCCCATCTGTGATTAATTTTGTCCAAAATTGTTTTTCCTCTTGTAGCATCCCTTCTGAGATTAATAGAACTATTGTAGCTCTTATCCCGAAAGTTGCTAATCCTGAAAGTGTGAAACAATTCAGGCCTATTAGCTTGTGTAATGTCACTTACAAAATCATTTCAAAAATCCTTGTTAACAGAATTAGGCCTATCTTGAATGATATTATTAGTCCTAATCAGAGTAGTTTCATTCCGGGACGTTCCACTCATGATAATATCATAATCACCCAGGAAGCTATTCATACCTTGAATAAGAAAAAAGGGAAGGTGGGTTTCATGGTTTTTAAAATTGACCTTGAAAAAGCTTATGATAACATTTCTTGGAATTTCCTTCAACAAACTTTGCATGAATTCCACTTTGATAAAAATTTGGTGAACCTGATTATGAGTTGTGTCACTAGTGTGAACACAGCTATTTTGTGGAATGGTGAGCCCCTTGAAGAGTTTAAACCAGCTAAGGGCTTAAGACAAGGGGATCCTCTATTCCCCTATCTATTTGTGTTATGCATGGAACGACTCTCAGCCATGATTAGCCAGCAAGTGCAAGGTAAACACTGGAATAGGCTTAGCTTGGCTAAGAATGGTCCTAATATATCACATTTGTTTTTTTCGGATGACCTGATTTTGTTCACCAAAGCAAATGAGCATAATTGTAACACTATTTTGCAAGTCTTGAACGAGTTTAGTGAAATTTCGGGATTAAAGGTCAACCTTCATAAGTCACACTTGTTTGTGTCTCCTAATATTTCCAGAAGAAAAACTAATCAATTTAGTAGTATGTGTGGCATTCCTTTAACCTGTAATTTGGGGAAATACCTGGGGATCCTTTTGCTGCATAATAGAGTCTCCAAAAATCATTTTATGTTTATTTTGGAAAAAATGAATGTAGACACCCCATTTTTGACCGACCTTAAGACTCAGACGTCACCGATTGAGCACTTGGTGATGTTGCATATCATGCTCGTTCAGAAGTTTCAGAGTCTCGGCTGCAAGCCTTGCCTCCGGACTTCCGGACTCTTTTGTGCTTTGCCTCAGTTTGCGAACCAGGCTCTATTTTCTCTGTTTTCTCTTCCCAAAGGGAGGGAGAGGTCTCGTAGATCATCTCTCAGTGTCCGTAGGCTACGTTTCGTGGTCGTAGGCCATTTTGCCCGTTTGGAGTCCGGTTTCTGGTTTTTCGGAGCCATTGGCCATGTGCCTCGATTCGGGACCGCTTAACCACCTCCGTTTTCTCCGGCTTTTGGCATACATCTTGTTTTCTCCCTTTTGAGGGACACTGTGGCCCGAGAAACCGACTTCGTGGTCGAGCACCACTCCCGGTGCCTAACAGCCAGTTTTCGGGGCCTCGGGCTGCGCGTTTCGGCCCCCGAACCTTCGTTTTGCATCGGTTTGAGTTTATTTTTGGCAGGGACCTCTGTTTCATTGGTAAGAAGGTCGTAGAAGGGTGGGAGGCCAACAATTGTTCTGTCAGCCAACTTTATCCCTTCATCGCCCTCCGTCGCCCGTTTTTTCTTACTTCAAAGCCAATGCGGACCACCCTTGGGCCATTTTCTTGAACCATAAATCCCATATTTGTGATGTACACACCTGGAAGGCCACCAATATTTGGTGGCCGGCCAGTAATTGCTTTTGAACCTTTTGAACCCCTTTGAAAAGTGGGTTGTTCTCCCTCCTGGTTCACTATCTCCAGTTTTTAACCACTTGATTGTGTTGTGCACACCTGAGAGGCTACCTTTTTGGTATGGCCGGCCACTAATTCTCATTGAACCTTTTGACCCTTGGCCGGCCGGCCATGGGAGGTAGCCGGCCGGCCACCTACACCCTAGATAACTGACCGGGCAGAATCCTTGCATCAAGTACAGTGCAGATACACCCTCCTTTTCCCCCTAGATTCTGTATCCGGGGGGGCCAACTTTTGGAGGAAAACTTGGCTTCATTTCCCTCCATTTTTTTCCCCATTTTTTCCCCCTCTTTTGCCTATATAACCAGCCTCCCAGCTCTGTAATAAGGGTTAGAAAAATCACCTTTGAGCTCCCATATTATATCTCTCTCCCTCTACACTTCCAAGCTTCAAACCTCTCAAGTCCTACACCCATTTCTTCACCAACCCATAGCACCATACCTCCAACCTCCATTGCAGCCACTTGAAGCTGTTTTTCAGAGCTAAGGAGCCACCAAACTCAAGCCAAGAGGCTGTCAAGGCATAGTCTTCAAGGGTGAGCTTCCTTTTTCCCTTTTCTAGCCTTTTCTTGATTTATTTATAAGCCATACTTGCTTGCTGTTTTGGGCTCCGACCCTAAATGGGAATAGAATTATTTTGAGGTATTTTTCATGTTTGTTTAAGGGCCTCTCACTATTTGAGGCCTCCTTGTTGCACTTGCTTCATTAGCTCCCTTGTATATCATTTTCTTGTGTAGTATTTTTGGCCTATGTATAAATTGTTTTGAGGCATGTCATAAACTGTAAAGAAGCTTATTGTGAGCCCTTCTTCAACATTGTTGAAGGGCTCATCACTGTTTGTGGCTTCAATTTGCCACTTGCCTTTATATTTCTCTTTTGGCTCTATTTTTGCATGATTTGTTAGCCTCTTATGCTTTTGTTTTTGGGCTCTGGTCTAAACTAAAAATGACCTTATTTTGACCCCCTATTAATGTTTCATGAAGGGTCTTTCACTGTTTGAGGCATCCTTTTTATACTTTGTGTTATAACTCTCTTTTTGGCCTTATTTTGCATAGCATTTTGAGCATTCTTGTACACTGTTTTGGGTCTGGCCACCAACTAGAAAATATCATTTTTTGGGCTCTCTTCAACTTTGTTGAAGGGCCCTCTCTTGTTTGGGGTCAGAAGCTGTGACTTGCTTCTTTATCTCACATTTAGGGCCATTTTCGCGTGCTAGCTTAGCCCCATTTGTGTTCACTGTTTGGCCTTGCTTAAAACTGTAAACATGCTTGTTTTGGGTCTTCCTTGAATCTTTCTTCACATTTCATGTTCAAATAATGCATGTTTTGTATAGCTATAGGCCAATGCATATGCCTAGTTTCGTGTTTCGGTTTCATTC